ATATTTGTGTGTGTATGTGTCTGGGTGTGTGTGGTGCAATTCTGTCAAGAATGCCACAAACAACAGATTCTCAATGTGTACCTAGGATTATCCTTTATACGGATGCAGGAACGGGGTAAATCAACTCTGCTAAGATAGCTGTGCACTAACTGCGCCTTATACAACGTCTATTAATATAATGTCTCGAGCTAGCGAACCACAAAATAAACCCCCCAGAAGTACACGCATTCGGGATAGAATACGACCCGACACTTAAACACATACAATAGAATACACATACCTACACACACCTACATAAAGATATAAATATTATAGAAGCCTTGTATACATACCTTCCGGCGGCAATCATCAGGCAGCCGTATGCGAACAATAGTCCTAAAGATCTTCTTCCAATGTAAGTACTCGTTATTGGAGCGGAATATGGGGAACAGCATCATTCGGCATAGCAACTGTCCCAACTGCGCCACACCCTCAAGTGACACGCGCACAGCGTCCTTTTTAGGGGTTACCATGGATACCTCTGCGTATACGCAGGGGCGGTGTTTACGGGAGTGGTTGATTGAGCAGAGGATAGTTATATGCAATATATGATTGCCAGACCAGAATAGATGCGTATGTCTGTCGGGGATAGCCACTCGCGACACTCAAGGATTACAACAACTAATCGTCGAATACAAAAATTCAATCGGAAAATACGACTACTCGACGACTATCTGAAATCCGATATCACTTGCATATACTACCAATTGCAAAGCATATACACGAATCACGAATTAGCCTTAACTAACAGGCTACCATACAAGTGCGCCTACCGTCTTCTTCTTGCTCAACATCAGGCTCAAGAGGCATGCTGCTCGTGCGTCGCATTCTGTGAGCGGGTCGAGGCGATGCGGCTACTTGTGAAACAAAGTGCCCCTGGTGTGGATTGTTTGGAATATCATTATTGGGAAGGGGTGGGACTTCGATCATGTACGAGTTCATGTGTATGTAGATATGTATACGCACGCAAACGATGTCATGTATTTCTTTTGAACCTATAATATATACAGACTGGGGGATGCTGGAAACCGCCGAAACCCGGGACGTCACTGCGTGGTATATGATAGAATGTTCGCTTTAGACAATTCGCTACAACGGAACATTCACAATACAATTTAGATAGTTACGAGTAAACGTGTTCCTAAAGATATATACGTATAACTGTACAAAAGATATATATATATATATATATACCCGCATACATATGTACATACATACATACATGCATACATAAAAATATACACATATACTTACATACATACACACACACACATATATATATTTATATATATATATATACCACACACCAACAANACTACCTATATATATATATATATATATATATATGTGTGTGTGTGCGTGTGTCTGTTTGCGTGTGCGTTTGTACCTATTGATTTATGTATACATACATACATACATATATAACATAAATATGTAAGAATCTGCACATATACAGTTTGTATATAATTCACACACCGGAGGTAGATGAGGGCCGCCGTGGCCCCCCATTGTCGCTCGATTGCTCTGCAAGTGATCCTCGCTCCGTGGTTTTCTCGCCGTAGTGTCGATTATGGAATTGAGATTGGATCCGGCGGACTTTTGGCGCGCAAGCGCTGCATTGGAAATTTTAGGACTATGCCCAACATCGCTGGTGTATGGCAACGAAGAAACAGTGGTGTTTAAAAGTCAGTAAGATGGGATATATATATATATATATAAATATATACATATATATACACACACACAAACACACACACACACACGTATATATACATACATACATATATATATATTTAAAGATATATAAACATCTATATATATATATATATATATATATACATATATATGTTTATACACGTATATATCTATATATCTATATATAACACACACATATATATAATATGTGTATTATATAATATATAAATATAAATATATATATATATATATATAGATGTGTGTGTGGACGTTTGTGTTGTGTTTGTGTGTGCGTGTGCGTGTGTGACAGCCCTTTCAATACGTCGCGATACGAAACCAACTGTTCATCTAAGCTGTCACTTATGTACACCATACCTAGTATCAATAATCCTGGTTGATCCAATGTCTAAGGAATCTATAGGAACCTAGGCGAGTGTCCATACACTCACAGGTTAGCATATATTTCGTCTTGAGGATATGATAGAGCGTGTCTTGTACTAGTACTGACCTCTTATACCTCGATTATGTACGCTACATTTCACTAGCACATTGCCAACAACATGCTTTCGTATGCTGATGTATAAAAATACTAACACTTCCTACTTACTCAGTAGAAACGATCCCCGGAAGTTCTGCTTCGATCTTAGCCACCACCTCTGGTATGGATGGTATGGGCGATGCCATGGGCGATGTCATGGGCGAAGGTCCAAAGTCGGCAGCTAGGTGATCATCCACGGAGAGTCCGGGACCTTATAGAAGGCAAAATGCAGTACATTGAGTATATGATTGAATAAATTAAGTTGGGAACAAGGAACTCGACAAGTCTATAAGTATGTTCGCCTAATGCCCACCGCCAGATGGGGCGTTAATCATGTATGCGTGCCGCTAATCTCGTACGCGGCTAATACATAGTTAAATCAACAGATGTACAGTATAGACGAAACAAAGTGACTCGCCTGGTCAGTCAGGTATACCACTATCCTATAATGTATTTCATGAGAACTACAGACAATATACGTTTGACAATACCAATCAATATTCCCAGGAGGGGTAGACGACAAATACGAGACCAAACAGAGAAATAAATTAATATAACAGATGCTTGGAAATGAATAGAAATTGAATGTACATATATGTAGAAGCATATGTAGATTGGTTTACAAACATTCACAAAAAGATGAATAACTATAA